TTTTTTTTTAATGAGAGCATAGATTCACTACATTCTTAATCCAGTCTTACATTTTTAGGAAATTATGAAGTTATTCAAGAATTTTTTTTCTTAACTGAGTGTTCTCTGATAAGAGATGCTCAGAATTGGAGCACAGTGACAAATTATCCCAAGAAGTTTGTTTGGAGTACTGCTTAAAGAGAAACTTTTGACTTGAACCCATAAAAAGAAAGATCTCACGGTTCTGTCATTTCTATCCACTACCTTCAAATACCCCTCCTTCTCCATATATTTGAGTCTTCTGTTCAGGTTGGATCTCTTTCTCCTGAAGTTGTTTTACAGAGGGCTGTGTATGGTGCTTCATTAGAATAAGACTCTTAATATGTTGTATGGTGACCAGATAATGTCAGCCAGGAAGTCTGCTTTCTGAGATATATGCAGAAGACTTTTCCCTCAGTGTTGACCAGATCATTAAGATGGGCTAATAAGACATGCTATCTATTTTTTTTTAAAACAGGTTATGTGCTTCAAAGCTGTTAAAAACTGCTGCTTGTATCACACATCTTGCCTTTCTCCAGGCTAGCTGCAATAATTTTTTTTTCTTGTGTAAAATATTTTGTAAACAAATAAAGGCTGTTATTAAAAAAAAAAAAAACAAAAACAAAAACAAAAGAAAAAAAAAAACACAACACAACAAATAGGTGGGAGGGTAGGGGTGGGGGGATTGGGAAAGAATGCCGGCATTATGATCAAGTCAATCTAATTTTCATTCCCAGTATTTCATTCTGCCATTTCACTACATGCTGCTGTGACATGAAGTAGGTGCAAAAGAACTTTTTGTACAGAGTTATATTTTTTATGAAGAATTTGTAAAATTATTAAATATGCTGTACTTTTTTGATTAATGTAGGTAAATTGTTAAAAATAAATGTTTTTACAATACAAAACAAATTGTAATTTTCCCAATAATGTAAAATTTATCATCTTTAGCAGATTTTCAGTTCTGATCCTATTACACATGTATTAATATTAAAGTGGCCTGTTAAAAATAAACAATATTCTCTTTGGGAAGAAAAAAAAAAAAAAAAAAGGAAAGAAACTATAAAAGATTGTAATATAGCCTGTGCAATTTCACCTACCTTGAAAGCAAACTCAGAGTTCTAATTAAATATTTAATTTTAGATTTTCAGCTTTTGTGTGACCTATTCTTCCAAATGTTTTTCTTCTATTTGATTTTATACTTATAAATTTCAGGTAGTGATTTTGCATTACGTTAGATTGTTTAGCAGAATCTTAATTGGGTCACTTTGAGTTTCCAAGCATTATGTAAGTTGGCAAAAATTTTCGGATGTTGTCTGGTGGCATAGGACCTATCTCCTGTTATCCTGCACTTTCCTGCACTTATCATTCAGATTTTAAAATAGGACTTTGTATCTCAGATCACTTTTTTTTTTTTTTTTTTAATGACATGGATCCATGGAACCAGAGGTACTTCTGATTCTAATCTCTGAGGGCTGGTTCTGAAAGCACCTAGATGTACATAATGCTACTGAAATGAAAATGCTTATGTATATAACAATTTTTAGTGTTTTCATAATCAAAATCTGAAATTCCAAATAATTTTATTTATTTATTTTACTGTATACTAATGCAAAGGATTTAAGTATTTGATTTCCTTGTTGGCAACTTAGGAAATTACTGATTCAAGTTTCAAGAGTGTGGTGGAATATGTCTGCAATTCACTTTTGGAAGAAACTTAAGATATGCATATGTCCTTGCTTCCTTTCGCATTTTCACAATCTATCCTTCTGTTAATATTTTGTGATATACACAGTTGTTAAAACTGCTCATCTCTCAGTATGATCTGACTTTCTTTCTGACATGAAAATAAGCTATAATCACTGACATTATCAAAGGAGATATTGAGGCATTAATTGTGAGAGAATCATTTTTACCTCTTATTCTAAACCATCGTCTATGTGCACTACACAAGTGAAATATTGTTCACTTTTTCAGTATTGCCAAGTTGCAATGTCAGCTTTTGAAAATTGTTTTTTCTCTCATGATCTATTTAGAGAAGTAACACGTATTTAATTTTGGATTCTAGACAACTATTGATAGAAAGTATCTTTTCTGTTTGTTGAGGATGCAAAGTCATTTAAGAGCCATACTCAGCTGCTCCCATAAATAACAAAAATATTTCCAGCTGGCATCTGCTAGCTCTGTAGAGCAGTGAGGTCATAAACAGTATCACAAGTGAGAGCTTCATATCCATCTTATTTACTAAAAATGGAAAATTCATTTTATAAAGCTGATTTTAATTTCAAACTCCAATAAACTACATCAAATACATTGCTACAAGCTCTAGCATGATTACTAACTTGAAATCACAGAAGCCAGAATGTATATGGTTTAAAGTTTGAGAGAACAGGGGTCAGAAGGTAGAAGAGAAAGACGTTTTCTGCAGAACGCTGCCTTTGAACAAATAAAATAAATTAGTTTTATACGTGTCTATAATGCACACACACACGCACACACACGCGCACGCACACACACACACAAAGATTTTAAAAATCAATGTTTTAGGGATCCATTTCAGAAGACTTTCTGTGTCATGAAGTCAACAGTGAACTAGTATTAGAGTTTCAAAAATTTGTAGGTGGCAGACTTTTAACACAAAATGTGTTTTGAACAAAGAGCAGAGGATTGCAGTTTGGACCTCACTGTGACAGACAAAAAGCCAACCACTCGCTGACGTGTGCCTAGTGGTTAGTTTTCAGTATGTGATTATGTATATGATGTAACAAAGTAGAAGATACTCCCAAACATATATGTTTGTATAAATATATAAATATTTTTAAATATAGGCATATGTAGTAATAATATAGAAATGTGAATGTACTTGGAGCCTCATTCACAGGTCAACTTGGACTCAGTTTTGCAATGCTTAACTTTCAGATGTGTTCTGCTGGTTGGTAGAAACTTCAGAATCAAGTTGTGTGGTCACAGCCCATGAAGAAAAGAGAGGAGAGGTAAGAATTTGCTTTTAAGATCTATGAGGAGCAGAAAGATAAGTAGAGCCATCTATAATCCCTAAGAAACACTAAGGCAAGATAAATGCTTAAGCATCTTACTTTTGTCCTGAAGAACATAAATCCTTCCATTGGGTTTCATAAGAGGAATCATTTGAAGCTGGATGGATTATTTGTATCAGCTCCTTTTTAAATGTTCTAATTTTCACCAGGACTCCCCCAAACATAATTTTCCTTCTTGCATCCAATAGAGTACTGCTGGAATGCTCAGATCAGATGTGTAAGATCCTAGTT